TGACCTTATAATGTGTATTTTCAGAAGTCTCCCCAATGAGTCCTTAGGAGTATCTCCTTATGAGATGCTCTACGGCCGTAAGTGCCGTACTCCCCTTAAGGCTTTCAAAGACTCTCTCCGAGATGCCACCTTCAGTGAGCATCAGAATGTGCCCCAGTTTCTTCAAAACCTTCAACACATTCTCGAGAGAGTCCACCGCTTTGCCCATGATAATCTATTGAAAGCCCAGGAGAGAATGAAGACTCATTATGACCAGACCAGCAAAGTAAGAAAATTCAAGCCGGGAGACTTCGTCCTTGCATACTTCCCTATCCCAGGTTCACCTTTACAAAACAGGTTTTCAGGACCCTACCGCGTCAAAGAGTGCAGGAATAACAACAACTACGTCATAGAAACTCCAGATAGGCGGCGGAAGACCCAGCTGTGCCACGTCAACCTCCTGAAGCAATATAATGGTACTCCTCCCACTGTCCTGACTAACTGTTCTACCTTCACAGAACCCTACATCCACAGTGAGATCTTCCCAGCTTCTCCTCCCGAAAGCACTGACCAGGAGTCAGCGCTTTCTAATTCCGAAATCCTTAATGATCTTCCCAAATACTTTCAGGATAATAATAGTGCTCCTTTGCCATATTCTAATTCCACTCTCACCTCGTCAGATAAGCCCTTCATCCTCCATGTCGACGCCAGTGGTACCGACATTGGTGGTGTCGCGATGCAGCAACGAGGCGAGGAGAATACACCTGTCAGCGACTACTGCTACAAGGAACTACGGAACAATTGGCAAGGAGCTACTCTTCATCCTGAAGCTCCAGCACTTCACTCCACACCTGAAAAGTGCTCGGTCCACCATCAACACGGACCACACCACCCTACACCTCCTGCAGCACGCCCACTTCTCATCTCAACGTCTTCTACTATGGGCTTGCTAACTGCAGAAATTCAACCTGGAGACATGCTATACCAAGACTCCGACAACATCTTAGCCAATGATCTCTCCAGAGTTTATGAAGTGGAAAAGACTCCATCTAATACTCCACCACATAACGACGTACTTCTTCCAGAACCGCAGGCTTCGGGGGAGAGTTGTGACGATAATCTCCTTCAAGAGATTGAGCCTGCTCTTCCCTCCACAATTATGTCGATACAACTATATAAAACTACTATGGAAGAAATGTCCAACAACGACAACATCATCTCCAAGGTTTGCCAGAGCGAAAAACGTATGCAGCCAGGAACACCTGCTCAGACTCAAACCGCCAAACTACCCGTCTTGCTGCCGGCTCCTCTGATTGGTCGCCGGTCGGGCTGCAACTGCACTCCACCCCCCCATACTACTTGATGTCTGGGGCCGCCACGACCTCAGTCCTCAGAATATTCCGTGCTTTCTCACAGTTAACACTTCTCCCTGCTAGACGTAAGCTTTGGCGTACGTGTACTGAGAGAGGTGATAGCTTAAAGCCAATATTCCAGCACCTTTCATTTACTTGTATATTGCACTTCTTGTTATTTTGTCTTAACGTAACTTTTCATTGTGTCATTTAATTATTCTTATTATTTTGATTGATTGATTTTATTATACGAATTTGTTTGACCATTTTATTCATGTTTTATTTCTTTAACGTAATTAAAATTTCATTGTTAAAATTTACTTGTGTTTTGTGTGTCTTCTCCTTACCTTACCACAGACGAAGTTCCAGATTTTCTATTTTTTTTAATACTATGTGACGAGGCCATACCCCTAGCTTTGAACAGCCGAACACCAACGCGTTACCGTCACAATGTCAACGAACAAAACTTGACTTAACATACAAAAGACCTACTACATCTTATTTGGAATCAAATCAACAAATGCAATTCAGCTTCAGATAGACAATGTAAACATCAGTAATAACAATGATGGAAAGTTTCTTGGTCTATTCCTAGACAAGAGACTATTTCAGCACCCACATACAATACATAACTAAGAAAGTCTCTAAAACAGTTGGTATACTCTTCAAAATCAGATATTATGTACCTAACTCTGCTCTCATCTCACTATATTATGCACTAATCTATCCCTATCTTAATTATGGTATCTGTGCATGGGGTTCAACAACTGCAAACCACCTCAAGTCCATCATTACCCAGCAAAAATCTGCTATCAGAATAATAACAAATTCTGTTTTCAGACAACACTCAGCCCCTTGTTTAACTCCTTAAACATGCTAAACATAATCTCACTCCACACATTCTCTTGTGCCAATTACATTTGCAAAACCCTGTTCTTAAATGCAAATCCTGTTCTGAAACTCTCCTTGGACAGATGTAATAGGATCCATTATCGCCACACCAGAAATAAATATCTTTTTGATATCCCCAGAGTCGAACTTATTCTGTGTAAACACTATGGAAATAAAGGGACCTTGTCTACGCAACCCACTCCCTAATGATTTGAAAAGTTGTCCAACTTTTACGTCATTCAAAAACAAAACTAAAAAGTTCCTAATTTCATCTTCATAGTTTCCTACCTTGTTGCTTTAAAATTGCACTGTATCAAGTATTACCCAATCTACTAATCCTTATGTACCTAATCCAAACAACCTTACCATTGTGATCATGGTTGTCTTATGTGCGCTATCAATCAGCTGTATGGTGCCTATTAATCTTTGTTTAAATTACCAATCAAGCTGTCACTGCAATCAATCAGAGCTACTAATGTACTTTAATGTACCTACTAATCTCTCCCATCTCATTTTTTTTCTTACAATCTTATCAATTTATTAATTCTGCTAGAATTTACCTACTTAAAATTATCTGTTTGATTAAGGACCTGCCCGAAACGCTGCGCGTACTAGTGGCTTTACAAGAATGTAAATATCATGCTATGTATCCTCACAAACCCAATGTACTTTCTTGTAAATAAATATCTGGAAGAGATGTTGATTTGCGTTGTTTACAATGTAACATTCCGGCAGGTGAAATTATGACTGCATGAGACAACTTGATTGGTTGGTTACACGACACACGTGAGGACACCATTATTACCTGGTTCACGACACGTATAGTACGTGAGAGGACGTGATCTGGATGTGTCCATGGCTTGTTAACCAGGCCACATTCTACTGAGACAGCTAAGCTGGTCCAGTACATATAATTAATCAGTAGTTAAACATTAGAATAATCATTAGTATCACATTACTATCAATAGATTAGTTTTGATTTAGTAGAATATATTAGAATAACCCCCTCAGGCTTGTGAAGGAGTTTATTAGTGGGATAAAATTTAACCTATACAGTCCACTCTCTAAAGAAATAATTTAATAGTAAATTAAATACAATTAATTTAATAAACAAATAAATAATAACTAAAATAAATAATCAAATGTCACTCGTAAATTTTTCATGACTACCGAAACGTCGTTGTCTCCTCATCTTGTGGTGTGTTGTTTAGTTCTCAACCCACAACAGTTTCCTCACTCCCAGGTGCCTATTTTACGGCAAGGTGAGCAGCGGCATGAGGTGAAACGTAATGTGCCCAACTGTTTCTGTCCTGCCTAGGGACTGATCCCATGTCCCTCAAATCTAAATATTTGCTTAACAAATATCAAACAATATAAAATCTATTCAAGGCTACTAAAAGAAAGACAACACTGCACTCAAGCCATGGAGGCTCCGACATTTTCCAACTGTATTTCCATAATTTTTTATAAATAAAGTAAGTAAAGTTGGTTATTTTAATTTAAAATATAATAACCCAGGCAAGCAGCCTTCACAACACCCCGTTAAGGGGGCAAACCACGAGCCTTCGAGCCACGAGCCAACCAAACAATCGTTGCCTCCCACGAAGAGGGAGCCCGGCATCGACCATACACAGAGGGGGACCAGCAGAGGGAAGCGCTAGTGGCCTGGTATGTGACTCCACAGATAGCCCACCTCACCCCACAACAGGTGACACGCCAGCAGTCAAATAAAGGAAAGCAGGCAAGAAAATCAAAGTCCATGCCAAATTCAAAGATTGAGCCAATACAGCCTATCGAGTTCGGCGGCGAAGAACGAAGTCTTTGCTTCCCGTGCCTCCGGAGCACGGGAAGCAAACAGCTTATTCAGTCGGCTTCTTCATCAGTTCAGCCGATAAAGCCACAGCAGAGGCCAAGAGCCCCGTAAGAGGCCATCTACCGAGCGCCTTCTCAGAAAACTATACAATGGCATCCAAATGCAAACAGGCATTTAGTTCGACTGCCACAACCACCACTAACAACAAAACCACTCGGGCATGGAGCTGCCCTAGACCCACGCCCCGAAAGAAATGGGAGCAATCAAGCAGACATTGAAGGGTTCATAAGAAAGGACTACCAAACCCACCTAAAAAAGGAAAGTTCACTAGCCAGAAAGACATCAGAGACTCGGAAAACTAAAGGAGGAACAGACCCAAACCGGAAGAGGCCAGTAAGGAGGTCCATCGTCCTTCAAGACCAAGTCTTGCAGGAGGAACATGAAGAATGTCCTCCGAGCCGACGAAGGAGGGACCGGAGATGAAGGTAACCTCTGGAAAGATGAACCCTACAGGCTCAAAGGCACACGGAACTGAACCTCAGGGAAGAGCCACACAGTAACACAAGAAAATCTAAATCCCAGAACCCCAGATGAATAGCGACATGCCAGTCCAAGTCCCAGAGGGCAAGATAAATCATCCTGGCATCTGCCCCAACACAAGGTGAGCCTGGACCAAACTGGTCATCCAAAACGCTGAATAAGCGATAAACCGGTTCAGTCTGAACAGATAAAAGTTGAAATGGAACTTCACCAAGTTCCATGTTTGAGAATGAACCCGAATATACTACCAAGACTTATTCTCTGTTTATCCACAATAATATTAATTCAACACACGTCAACAGCAGTCATAAGGTTTTTGTGAACAGGCAAGTTTCTACCACCACGTGTGTGTGTGTGTGTTTCTAGTTTTAACTATTTTCAGTTTATAACGAAGATTTTTATGACTTTTTTTTTGCGTGACCCACCTGCCAGCAGCATGAAGTAGGTGACCTTGATGATCAGGAGCCTGGTATCCAAGAGGTCGCTAAGGAACTCTTGGATGCCAGAGGTGATGCATCCCATGGCTTCAGCTGAGGACGGCTTGGGCCAGCTGGGGGTGAGTTTTGACCGGTTAGGGCTGGCTTGAGCCAGATGAAGGTCGATCTGGGCGAGATGAAGGTCGACCTGGGCCAGATGAAGGTCGGCCTGGGCCAGCTGGAGGTCGGCCTGAGCCCGCTGAAGGTTGGCCTGAGCCAGTTTAAGGTCGGCCTGGGCCAGTTTAAGGTCGGCCTGGGCCAGTTTAAGGTCGGCGGGGGACAGCTCGAGGTCGGCGTGGGCCAGCTGGAGGTCGGCTTGGGCCAGCTGGAGGTTGGCTTGGGCCGGCTGGAGGTCGGCTTGGGCCAGCTGGAGGTTGGCTTGGGCCGGCTGGAGGTTGGCTTGGGCCGGCTGGAGGTCGGCTTGGGATCAGTTCGGCAGTGCTGAGAAATTACAGTCTATCCCTTTATTAAGTCTTTTGATTTATTTGTATTCCTTTCTTTGATCTTTGTTTGACACGTCGTTTACTCTTCTGCTGGTCAGTCTCCCCCCGACACATTCCGGTACAACAACAAGCTGCAATTAAAAATTGAATCAGCGAAAGTGTAAACGCATAAGAGCAGTGCTAAGTGTGATTATTTACATACAATACATACTGGAAGGTACAATGGGTTGTGTAAGACAAGATTTTGGCGATTAAATGTATATTCTTGCCCACCCATGCAGTGTTCTAAACATTAACGGGGATTTATTAGACAGTATATGTTAAATAATAGTGTAGGAAATTATTAGTCATTGCATTTACACGAATTTTCCCGAAAGGTCACTAACACACTAGTGGCCTCGACGATGACAGAAAGCCGGCGGGTTGTCAAAGGTCACCCATTTGTCCTAATATTTTCCAGTTGGATTTTAGAATTTAACAGTTTTGACATTTACGGCTTCGGAGGGTAGGCGGTTCCATGGGTTTATAACCCTGTGGATGAAAAGTATCTCCTGTTTTTAGTCCTACACTGTGGCTTGTTGAAATTGAAATCGTTGTTCCTTGTTAGTGTTACATCTGACCACCTGAAGAAATTGTCTAGTTCAACATCCTCCAAATTGTTCAGTATTTTAAAAGTTTCAATGAGACCCGCCCTGTCATGCCTGGTTTGCAGTGCTGTTAGCCGTGTGGCCTCATCCTGCCCTGATACGCGAGTTAACTTAGTTCTGGAATTACTTTTATTGACCAGTGTTGCACTCTCTTCAGTGCAGTTATGTCCTTCTAAATATGGGGTCTCCATGCTTGGATACAGTAATCCAAATGGGGACGCACCAGAAATTTACACAATTGAATCACTACCTTCTTTTCCTTAAAGTCAAAGGTACGCTTGATTATTCCAAAGGTTTTGTTAGCCTTTTTAACTGCTGCTCCTACCTGTCGCAGCAGTGTGGCAATTGTGTTCAATAAGTAATTCTGCTTGCCAAAGAGCGGGAAATTTTCTCTATAAAAAAAAGAGTGATTATCGGCTTGTTCAGGCGCCCTCTGGTACTTAATAGGTCGCCCTGGGGTCACGACCTCTCCCTTCACCCCCCCCCCCCCCCCGTCTCTACGCTGGCAGCCACCTCACGCTCCCAACACTCAACCCACCCACCGGGGGGACCTCTACTCTCCCTCCCTTGTAGCGTACTAGACTCTTGTAATCCTCAAGACCTAAGGAAAGGAGGCGACTAGGGTACCAGTTGATGGATCCGCGCCCAAGTGAACAGGCCACGGGCTCGGGGCTGCTGGACACCTCTCCTCTTCCTTCTCCCGCGTTTTCCTGTTAACGGTCACCACGCTCGCGTGAACCGTCACAGACTGGTGCCCAAGGGAACGGCGGTTCCCCCCATTAGCGTACATTGCTTACGTTTAACAATTTGGGCAATTGACCAGGTGCACTTTGCACCGTTAACTTAGGTGCAAACATTATGTTATCTGGTAACTGGTTAATCGCCTACCTTATCCTTGTATATCCTAGTTACACTTATTCGAGCGGGAAGATCGTGCCTCTCACAGCTACTTGAGCACTACGACAAAGTCACTGAGGCATTAGAAGAAAAACAGAATGCTGATGTGATATACACGGACTTCGCAAAGGCTTTCGATAAATGTGACCATGGCGTGATAGCACACAAAATGAAGTCAATGGGAATAACCGGTAAAGTAGGACGCTGGATACTCAGTTTTCTGTCAAACAGGACTCAGCAAGTAACTGTCAACCATATAAAATCTAGTCCAAGTGCAGTGAAAAGCTCTGTACCTCAGGGTACAGTCCTTGCACCGCTGCTTTTCCTTATTCTCATATCAGATATAGACAAAAATACAAGTCACAGCTTCGTATCATCCTTTGCAGATGACACAAAAATCAGTATGAAAATTACCTCGGCTGAGGACATTGAAAAACTTCAAGCTGATATTAATAAAGTTTTCGACTGGGCATCAGAAAATAACATGATGTTTAACAGTGATAAATTCCAGGTACTCAGGTACGGTAAAAATGAGGACCTTAAACATAATACAGAGTACAAAACACAATCAAATGTACCCATAGTAGGAAAACAGCATGTAAAGGATTTGGGAATAATAATGTCTGATGACCTAACGTTTAAGGAGCATAACCAAGCAAATATTGCGACAGCCAGAAAAATGATAGGATGGATTACGAGAACTTTCAAATCCAGGGATCCCATCACAATGGTTGTTCTCTTCAAGTCACTTGTGTTGTCCCGTCTTGAGTACTGTTCAGTACTCACTTCCCCCTTCAGAGCAGGAGAGATTGCTGAAATAGAGGGAATACAGAGAACATATACGGCACGCATAGATGCAATAAAGCACCTAAATTATTGGGTTGTCTCAAAGCCCTTCAAATGTACTCACTAGAAAGAAGACGAGAGAGATAACAAATAATATACACCTGGAAGATACTGGAGGGCCAAGTACCAAATCTACACAGTAAAATAACTACGTACTGGAGTAAACGATATGGAAGAAAATGTAGAATAGAACCAGTGAAGAGCAGAGGTGCCATAGGCACAATCAGAGAACACTGTATAAACATCAGAGGTCCGCGGTTGTTCAACGTCCTCCCAGCAAGCATAAGAAATATTGCCGGAACAACCGTGGACATTTTCAAGAGGAAACTAGATTTATTCCTCCAAGGAGTGCCGGACCAACCGGGCTGTGGTGGGTATGTGCGCCTGCGGGCCGCTCCAAGCAACAGCCTGGTGGACCAAACTCTCACAAGTCAAGTCTGGCCTCGGGCCGGGCTTGGGGAGTAGAAGAACTCCCAGAACCCCATCAACCAGGTATCAACCAGGTATTCCTACTGGTCATTGCCGCTACTAATTGGAGTTGGCTACATGCTTATCTATTTGTCAGTTACCTCTCATTTATTCTTTATATCACAGTTATAGGCACTTCTGAGACTATAGATATAGTTAACTATAACTTAGTTAACTTATGTAACTATAATTAACTACTTATAAGTTATCTAAATTATATACTACCTATAAATTATTGATTAATAAATAAGTCACATACCAAACGAGTTTCCTTCCAAACTACAGAACATATGCAAAAGTATAGTAACTGTGTGTACGAATACACGGTATAGATAATGGAATCGGTTTGTCAATATTATATCAGAATACATGGGGGATTATGGGTAAAACCTGGACTGGCTACAGTTGGGGCCTCCAGACGTCCTGTAGATTCAGTGGAATTCCAGGTTGAATAAATTTTACCATATGGTGGTCCAGCAACCCGTCTTCTGAGTAAGTCTATTCCATCCAGTGGTCGACCCCCAAAGATGCATTCGTCAATTTTAAAAAGAGGATGCTCATTCAAAACAGGAATTTTCTCATATATAAATTAATATTGTTACGGCAATCTCTTTCTTAGGCAAAGAGATCCTGCCTATTCCTTTACCACCTATTCCATAACATATCTTCATACTCAAGTATAGGAAATCAACAGCAACAATTCGTGCTCAGAAGCCTGTGTCTAGCCAAGACCCCCCCCCCCCTCCACCCTCAAGTGCCCGAGACAACTGTCTAGGGCCAACTCCACTCGCCGGTCAATCAGCTGAACCGCTTGTTTAAGACTACCGGCGATAGTTACACGCACATCAGCGCCACCTACACTAGGCCTGGCCGCATATATAAGCAGTCACCACCGGCCAGACCTCAGAATACCCTTCGTGCTCTCAGCAGTAACATCTAAATATTTAAAGTTTTTCATTCTTTGGACTTTACCCGCCGCTCTCACACCGTAAAGAGGTCTGAAGCAATCTTATTTACTTTATTTTACTTTTTTTATTTAATGTGTTTGGCATTTTACCAACCAGAATAGCCATTGCTTTGTTCTTTCACTTTTACAGCACAATATTATAATATATTAGCATATTGTGTCTATATAGGTTAGGTTAGATGTTTAGGTTCTGTTGGCGATTATTTGTATTTGTAGTACGTGGGTGAAGCATTTACAGCGTTGTGGTTCGAACAAAAGTTGTCAGTGAAGCACTTGTTCTGGAAGTGTTCGGACGTCATCGTGTTTGTTGTGAGTCATGTGTAAACCGTTTTTCATTCATAAACACCTGGTGTTTTGAAGGATACGAAGGCAGCAGTTAGCTGCTTTGAGAGCTTTCTCTTTTTAAGGCTAACCCCATAATACAGTCGATAGGGCGTCCGCCTCTTATGTCAGAGGACGACTGTTCGAGGCACCTAGTGCCCAAAGTGAATGAAGTGCTTTGGGTATATACGCGAACCTCCTGACCAGAAGCCGTCGTCTCTACCACTTCCAGCATTCAACAGTAACACACTATGGCCCAACCTGTCATAACGTCTACGTGCTCTACACCACTAACGTCTGTAACAAAGTCGTGTCATATATTTAGTCACCATAATGTGTGCGTGTCACCGTAAACTAGAGTTGTACACCACTTGGCTAGTAGAACTATATGAACTCCATCGGTATCCAAACACTGGCAGAAAAAACCTAAAATCATCCATTGTTCCCGCCTGTTCTA